GAGACGGCTCGTCCTATCTCCACCCGTGTTCCCTAGATCTAGAGGTCATTCTCGAGGCTTGGAAACCCGCGCTGCGGTTTCTTCCCCCTCTGTGTGAGAGCTCGCTGATGCGGCCATCTTTCTCTGAGGAGATTGGTGTTGTTTGTGTGACTGAGCGGCTCGCGCGCTGCCGAGGCTACGCTTATATTACATAATTCGGTTTTTGTTGTGCATCTTACTCACCAGACCGTATTTACTCTCTGGTTGTCTGACTGCATTTAATTCTGAGGAATAAAATGAAGTATTTATCTGACTATGAGAAGTTAGATATAAAGGGGCACTTGGGATAAAAATAATTAAATAACATTTTTTTTTTGTGGTCGTTTTGTTTGTTTCCTGTATGTAATTCTTGTTTTTTCCTTTTTTTTTTTTTTTTTGTTCTGCCCCCAGTTAGCATAAAATATTTTAATTGTTATCCTTTTTTTGTTTATGAGTATTTAAAAGGTATCTGTATCGAACATGTTCCCCTGTGAATTGTGACTTCCTTGTTTTTAAACAGAAAATTATTTTTGATGTAATAAAACATTGGTTTCAACTGGCAGAAACATCTCAGTCATTTCTGGGTAGACCGAACCTGTATGGTTGTGTGGTTTATATCCTGGGGTGAAAGTCCCTAGGTGGCGTAGTGGGCTATTATTGCAAATTTTAGGTCAAGGTTGTGGTCTTTTCCTCTATTTATTTCTCTTCCTTACTGTCCCGCCACACAAAGCAAACTCAGCATCCGATCGCAGGCCTTCCCGCTCCTTGAGTTATCTCCAGCGCTGGAAAGCTGATCCGATATTTACACGGGTCCTTCTTCTTGCCTTATCGTATGCCTTCTTTTGTTCCACAGACGTCTTCCTCCTTTTTTTTTTTATCCGCTATCTCTATCTTTCTGTCGTCGCTCGGCTCAGCTAATGTCCCTCCTGTGCGCTGAGTGCTCTCCTCCACATCATGAGTAGACACGCCCCTTACTGCTGATTGGCTACAAGTTTTTGGTACTTGGCCCGACTCTGTTTTCTAAAGCGTTTTTGAAAAAATACATACCCCACCTTTTAAAGGGACGGCCGTTTAGGAGCTAGCTCGCTTATCTTTATGCGCAAGTTCTAAGGAACGCTCCATGCATATGGTCAATTGTAGCTTGTTAGAAACTGCATATGTTTCTAAGTGAAATTTTTTATGGGTTTTGTACAAAGGTAAAATAATAAAATATATAAAGGGATTTGAAAAATACCAAGTTTATATTATTTAGTAAACTGACTTCCACTTTCATCTATCTATCTATCTATCTCAAACACGATTAATGTAACCATTTTAAATAAAGGTTGTTTTATTATAGAACCCCACCTTTTAAAGGGACGGCCGTTTAGGAGCTAGCTCGCTTATCTTTATGCGCAAGTTCTAAGGAACGCTCCATGCATATGGTCAATTGTAGCTTGTTAGAAACTGCATATGTTTCTAAGTGAAATTTTTTATGGGTTTTGTACAAAGGTAAAATAATAAAATATATAAAGGGATTTGAAAAATACCAAGTTTATATTATTTAGTAAACTGACTTCCACTTTCATCTATCTATCTATCTATCTATCTCAAACACGATTAATGTAACCATTTTAAATAAAGGTTGTTTTATTATAGCTTTTGGAGCAAGGGCTGATGTTTATTGCCATCTTGCAATACCACAGCGTGTGACTTCACATGGTTGTTTGCTCTGTTGGCTAGTGAAGTAATATAAGCATTTCTGTACTTTTTGAACACACTCTTGTTTTGAAATGGAGGAAGACGAACTTGAAAGGACCGTTGAGCCCATATTAAGTGCAATTGCTTATGCATTTGAGCTGATATGGCTATGTTATTGACCATACTGACAAACTATGCTGACTTTGGAAATGTGATGTGACCGATGTGATAAGCATGAGTGACATGGCAGTTTTAATGGACGACGTTTATGTTATATTGGACTTATACTGAAAGGGTAAATTTATGGGGTCATTGTTTATTAACTTTACAGTAAGTTATGTATTTCACGAACTAGTTAGCAACTTACCATTAAGACAGCGCTTGATTCTGAGTCGTTTAGACACCACTTAATTGCTTGTCTGATGCTGCTTAAACAAGAGACCTCCTTACTGAAGTGAAAGGGTTGGCTGGTGTCACAACAGTGACCTGTGTCGCCAGTAGCAAACAATGGAGCACACTCTGCTGGAAAAACTAAGTAATTACACCATTTACAAGCATTTTATCTGCGTTATGTTCTGTAAAAAATTTTCATATCGGTGGCATATCTGCGGCATATGCGCACAGACTGCAGCACACAGGATCTGAGCTTTATGGCGGAAGTATACGGCTATTCCTCTCACAAATCAATAGTTTTGCCTCGGAAGACTCTGAATATTAATACTTTTTGAATAAATTATGACTGTAGTAGTTGTATCTGTATGTTATGTCTTGTGTTTTATTGACAAATGGTAGGTTTAGGGGCAGGAGTTGGGTTACGTGCTCAAATGTGTAAATACTATAATGGAAATGAAACTGTTGTGACTGTTTACATTGAAAAATGACACCCCAACGTATATGCAATAATGGCAATATTATTACCTAATATATAATTTAATCATGGCGATAAAATTCCCAGTGCCTTTCTCGTCGGCATATTGACGCCAAGGGTTTCTTATTTAAAGCAATGGAGGACCCTGCACGTCGAAAAAAATGACACTAAAGGGGTACCCTGAGTGTCAAAAAGTGATGCCAAATGATCCTGACCAAGCGTCAATATGTGACGAGTTGGGAGTGAGAATGTGTTGAATGTGTGAGAATTGCATGAATGAATGATATTTTTGCAATTTTACACATAATAATCCACGAGGATCACATTATACAAAACTGAAATTGCATGTCAAAATAACACACTGGCAATATTTTTTGAGACCCCCCAAAATTTCACAAATCACATTTTCAGGGGAGCCCATGTCTTAAGGGGAGCCGAGCTCCCCCCAAGCTCGCACCCTGGTGTTGTACCAGCACACTTTACTTTTGGGATGGTACTCAGCAGATGATGAGCAGAGCTGGTTTTCTTTAAACACGATGTTTTGAATTGAGGTTAATCAGACCAGAGAATCTTGTTTCTCAGAGTCTGAGGGTCCTTTAGGTGCTTTTTTTTGCCAATTCCATGTGTGTTTTCATGTGTCTTCACTGAGAAGAGGATTGAGTTTGGCCACTCCACCATAAAGCCCAGATTGGTGGAGTGTTGCAGCGATGTTTGTCCTTCTGTAGGTTTCTCCCATCGACACATATGATCATGGAGCTCAACTAGAGTGACCATCATGTTCAGACAAGGCCCTTCTCCATCAATTGCTCAGTTTGGCCAGGTGACCAGCTCTAGGAAGAGTCCTGGTTGTTTCAAACTTCTTCCATTAACGGAGACTACATGCTTCTGTGAACTTTCAATGCTGCAGAAATTTTTCTGTACCCTTCCCCAGAGCTGTGCCTCGATACAATCCTGTCTCTGCGGTCTACAGACAATTCCTTGGACTTCATGACTTGGTTTGTGCTCTGACATGCATTGTTAGCTGTGGGACCTTATATAGACAGGTGTGTGCCTTGCCAAACCATGTCTAATTAACTGAATTTACCACAGGTGGACTCCAATCAAGTTGTAGAAACATCTCAAGGATGATCAGTGGAAACAGGATGCACCTGAGCTCAATTTTGAGTGTCGTGGCAAAGGCTGTGAGTACTTACTTATGTGTGATTTTTTTCTGTTTTTAATTTTCAAGAAATTTGCAAAGAGTTCAAACAAACTTTTTTAATGTTGTCATTATGGGGTATTGTTTGTAGCGTTTTGAGGAAAATAATGAATTTAATCCATTTTGGAATAAGCCTGTAACATAACAAAATGTGGAAAAAGTGAAGCACTGTGAATACTTTCCAGATGCACTGTAAGTAAACACTTGTAAAACCCAGGTGTCAATTTTGTTTAATGGAGTTATGATTTTCACTGGACTTTTGTTCATTCTGTCTGCAGTTCAAGTAAGTCCTGTTTCTGCCATCTCTAAACTGACAGCACACATCAGACTTTGATTTAGCCTACAGCTAACTAAACAAATGAGTTCTGATGACAGCAGTGTCAAATATCAAGTTAAAGAAGTTTACACAATTGCAGCTTGTTAGAAACTGCTCAACACTACGTATGTTTTAAGGCTAAATCTGTCTGAAAAGTCATGCAAATAAGGAAAGTCATTTAAAAATTAGCAATAGAAAGCATGAAATCCTATTTTTATTGATGTTATTCTGGGGTAGCCTTGTCTTTTAGGGCAACATAATTTAGTTTTTCTGTCTGAATCAACCGTTGTGTCATGAGCGAGCTCGTGCTGATATCTTGCAATGCTGTAATCCAGCTCTTTTGTAACAGCATTATTCCAGAATTTCAGCAGCTGTCATACATAACGACACACTTTGACAGCAGGAATATGATGATGGAGGAAATAGTAATACCACACCTTATCTGTGAAAGTAAGAGGTTTTACTCACCTTTGGAATAGAAGAATTTACTGGCATCTACAGTATTGTGCAACAAACCCTGTCCTTTCTCAATCTAAATGGCTATCAGGTTTGTTTGGTTTATTTTGCACAAGTAGCAGCACAGAATGAAAAAATCAAAAGGCAAATGTGACTTATCTGACGTTTTTATTTCCTGAGATTCTGATTTTACATCTCACAATTTTGAGTTGAGATCTTGCAAGTCTGACTTAATTTTTCACAATTATAATAAAGCAATAAGCTCCGCTTCGTGTTGTGCCTAACAACGCCACTTAGCTGTTATAAATTTACTGTAAACCACGGCTTCACGGGGCTTATTGCTTTTATACGATGGTTATTCCATATACGTAGTAAGGTTTCACAAAATAAAACGGAGCAAATAAAGTGTAATGATATTAATAAAAACGGTCTTCTTCCACCAAACAATGTAGTTCCTCAGAATCAGTTGTGGTTCCAACAAAGTGGTTGCCGAGCAACACAGAAGTAAACAAAGGTGTATGTTTGAGTAATTCACAACGGCTTCGAATGCGGCTCAGCCAATCAGAATCAAGGACCGGAACTCTCCGTTTTATAAGTATTTATTCATCACAATTATAATTTCTTACAAAATATAAGATGTTTTTCTTTGAATTCTGATTATAACATTTTGCAATTCAATATTTTTTCAGTCATTCTGCCCCCCCCAAAAAAAGTTTATAACTTTGTTTTATCTATAAGTTTATATCCATTTCTGAGTTCAGTTTACATTTCGTAATTACATCTCACAACTTTTTTTTCCTCTGAATTCTCAGGTTTATATTTCGCAATTCTGACTTTTTTTCTTCTTAGTCTTTTAAGTGCCGCCTACATGAATAAACATGTCTGCTTGGATAACAAAATTAGTTATTTCACAATACTGAGAAAACAGTTGTAACTTAAATAAAGTCAGAATTTAGTGATTTAAAAAAAGTCCCAATTGCTAGTTTATTTTTTTTAAGTACCATGGCAGAAACAGGATTCCCAGCGTTAACGGAGAACGTTCTGGCAAGATTCTCTCCAAGTTATGAATAAACGTTCTTCCAGTAATATAAACAGAACATTTGTTCGGTTGTCTGGTCTTTTATTAGTGTTTTTAAAATGTTAGCATAAAAACATGATCTGTACGTCATTAAAGGAATATATTTTTTTAACGGTTTAGTTCAGGGGTGCCCAAACTCGGTCCTGGAGACCGAGTTTGGGCACCCCTGGTTTAGTTGAATGTTCGTCTACCTTTTTTTTTTATTTTATTTTTTTTAAACCTCATAATACTAAGTTTAGAACATTGAAAAATAAAATTCCGATAATGTTTGTAAAATGGAATGTTCCCTTAATGTTCACATAACCAAGAAAAATGTTTTTAAGACATTTTAAAATTTGAAGTTTTGAACATTCAGAAATAATTGTCATAACGTCATGGGAACGCAAGCAAAACTTTCTTAGAACGGATTTTTGATCACTGGTTCCATACAAAACAGTAAGAAACAAAGCGTTAGAAGTGCTTTTGATGGTTAGAGCACGGTCACGCTCATTATTGAATAAACCCATTAGTGGATAACAAGTCGTCATGTGACCTCACGTTTGACATGTTTGATCAGTGCATTGTAGTAAAGCAAACCTATTAATTTTACTAGATCAAGCAGGTTGGAACAGTCAGCAAGGAAAACAAATCTTTAATTGCATGACATGTTTCTGACGTCAAGATGAAGTGTAATTGCAAATTCAAAGAAGTTTAATAGTTTTTCATTTCCAAACTTCCTTTAATGACTCATGAGCCATGACTCATTTTCATATAATTATCATTACACAGTTAAATCAAAGTATGGCTCTTCATCTTTTTAGGATATTAAAAATCTTTTTCTTTTTTTTTCCATTTTAATCTGAAGACATGAACAGGATTAGTTTAATTTGGGAGTCATAATCATAACACTTCAGGTTATAACCCAAATATTCCCCCTCTTTCAGCCGCTTTTCATCAGTTGAATCTGTGTCAGTGTGTCATTTGTTCCTTCACATGACTTAAGATTGTATTTAGTTATTGTACAAAAATGAATAATTTTCTTGTAAAATACGTTCTGTTCTATTATTCTGCCACACAACTCATGTTTTAGCAGACAATCGAGCTTTGTTCTCGTTCTTTCTCAACTTTTTAAAAATTTTATTTATTAGAAATTAATTTGTAATCATGAGTCTGTAATAATAATAAAAATTAATTTCCTTTAGCAGACACTTTTAAGCAATTCTATTGCTTTTAGCCATTTATTCATTTATAAAGCACTTTTCTTGCCCTATTTCCTTCTCGATTTCTGTATTTGTGCTATAGTGTTTATTTTTTATTTTTTTTTACAATTATCGTCTAGAATAATAATAAATAATAAAGTTGCTAAAATTCATTTACATTTATTAAGTAGACCCTTTTATTCACAATTTTATTGCTTTTAGCCATTTATTCATTTATAAAGCACTTTTCCTTATGTATCAAACTGAGGTCTCTGAGATATTTATGAAAAAAAAAAAAAAACTAACCAATAAATTAGTGCCCAGGGGTTTTCCTTGAATTAGTTTCACTCTTTAATCTTATTCTACATTTAATAATTGTTTGTGTAAACTTCTGATATTTTCTATACAACAGCAATCAATTCAAGCGTGTATTTCTTATGAAAAAAAAAAAAAAAACTAACCAATAAATTAGTGCCCAGGGGTTTTCCTTGAATTAGTTTCACTCTTTAATCTTATTCTACATTTAATAATTGTTTGTGTAAACTTCTGATATTTTCTATACAACAGCAATCAATTCAAGCGTGTATTTCTGATCTGCTGCCATTGAGAAGATGAATATGCTAATATGTGCATACACCAACCTGATTTGTAGACTTTGTTCCAGCTCATATACGATTATTAGTGCATTGTTTGATAAACGTCTTCGTAATTATGAATCTGACAGCGTGAGCCAGACTGTCCCACCTGTCCACAAACACTGGGCTCTTATCATACCAGACCGATGATAATAATTGCATGCTTCAGAAAATGAGAGGACACCCACACCTGTTCAGTTTCTTCATCCTAATCCCATTCATCCTCCCACTCTTTCACTCTTTTTAAGAAATGTCAAACAGGTTTCTCTTCTGTGTCATCTTATGTAAAACGTCCGAGGGCTTTATGGAAGCATGTTTAATGAATATTAATATGTCCATATGTGTGTATGTTTGTTATCTGGGTGTGAAGGTTGAAAAGGTTAGATATGCGTAATATAGGTATATCTATACATGTTAATATGCACACCATTTTATACTATAAAAAGAAAGAAAAGTGCATAAGTATGTGAAATGGGACACACCTTTTTTTTGCAGTTTTTTTTTTTGTTGACAACAGTGGAGCAGAAATAATGTACTTCACCTTGAAATGGATTGTAAATATATACGTTTGAGAACAGATGATAAAATACTTGTAACAACATCAGTAACAATGATTGTTATTAATAAAGTTCTATAAAACAAACAACTTTTTTTTAAATATTATTTTTATTGTATTTCCAGAGGCGTTCAAAATAGATAAAGCAATGCAATAAAATAAATCTCATTTAGAAATAATAAAACTAATAGACAAACAAACACCTAACTATTTTTACATATAAAACAGAGGCACTATTTAGACAAAGTGACAATTTCCAATAATGTCGTCAGTCACTAATTTTGACAGATAACTGAGGAAAAGACCAAGAAGTTTCAGATATTCTAATGAGATATTTATAAATACATAAAAATAAATAAAAGGAAAAACTAACTTTAAAAGTAAATACAATAAAAAAAATAATAAAAAAAATAACAATAATAATAAAATAAAAAAATTATAATAAAATAAAAAAAACACATTGAAAACACAGGAGTTATGGGAAATTAAAAAAGAGCCATTGGATTTTAACCAGTATCATCATTATTCACTTTTATCAGATGATAAAAAATGGTCTCTGAAAAACATTTGGTTCCGTCAACTACGTTTTATATTTTGTCTTCCACACACAAAGAAATGTTAATGTTCAAGAACTACTACTAATAAAAACAAACAGACAAATATTTATTTTATTTATTTGTACTTGCACTTTTATTATTATTATTATTATTATTATTATTATTATTATTATTATTATTATTATTATTATTATTATTATTATTATTATTATTATTATTATTATTATTATTATTATTATTATTATTATTATTATTATTATTATTATTATTATTATTATTTATAAGCATTCAGAAAGGAAAACAACAACAATAATGATAAAAATAATGCCATTTTAAAGCTTATTCTTGTTGAACAGACTTTTAATTGCTTTCAGGCTGCAGAAATGTATACATTGTTATGGCTTTTGGCTTGTGATTCATAGATTTTGAGCTGGTTCTGATGGTCTGTGATTCACTATGATTTGTATTTCCTGGAATATTTCCAGTTTAATAAGAGAAGGAAGAAATCTACTTTATTTCTACCTTTCCCTGAATGCCATTAATGTTGTTCATCAGAGCCTGTCGCCTCTTCCGTAGTGAAAAGGAGTGGCGACACACGGTTAAATAAGAGCTGTGAGCAGGTGCTTCAGTGACAAACATTCTTTGAATTCATCAGCGTGAACACGAGACGGTCTTTCAGATCACCTGAACTTCACACGCCAGACGCCTCAAACGCACAGGTAACACTGCATTACAAATACTTCATTATAAAACACTTTATAATACGTTTTCGTTATTAATTCATCATAAACATAATGCATAATTGATCAAAAGGTCATGATTTTCAAATATGCATATACTGAAAACATGAATCGCACCATTATTGCATTAAACTTTAAAGCAAAACGTTACAGGTGAATATGGCAAATGAAACTAAAACTTATACTAATACTTAATGCTAATACGATATTAGCTGACTGATAACTTTAAGAATTGCAAAAAATTTTTTTTGTATTCCAAGTTTTCTGAAATGTTTAAGAACGCAAATAATGCATTATCTAATTAAATGTGAACTTGCATAGATTTTTAGAAAATACATCTCGGATAAAGCCAGGTTCAAAAATGTTTTTTATTTTGTTGACATATTAGAGTCAAAGGCTTTTATAGAGGGGAATTTGAATAATTGTATCCCTCCATAAATCAGAAAATACCGTCTACAGCCAGAAAATGAATTTTCACTACGGTTTTATTAATAAAACAGTGTATAAAACCAGCCGAATGATGTATGAACAAACCCCTCTATAAAAATGTTCAGAATATAGACCGTAATAAAACTGTAAAACCTGGTGTATGTAAGTGCTGCTGAAGTGGAGAAAAAACTGCATTTAAAGAGAATTATAATTGAAATCTACAGATGCAAATAGAATATTTATGCAATAATAAAATCAGGTGAATGATATGAACAAACCCCTCAGTAAAAACTTTCAGAATACAGATTGGAGTAAAACTGTAAGTTTTTTAGTGTTCAGGTAATTTAAAGCCTTGGCAACATTCTTTTTAACATAATTAATATAAAACGGGTTTCACTTAGTTGGGCTATAAAACAGGATAATTAGAAATGTCAATGAACTTTGATTCATATATTTTAATATGAGCATGCATATTTAAATATGCATGAATTTGAGACCTATTTATTGCTCATTTAATAATGAAAGTTATTGTAGAACAGTTTTTCGCTCATTAATAACACTGTCAGATATGAGAGCAGATTGTTGTTTTTTTCATCGGTTTAGACATGATGAAGTGTCAGTTACAATAGCTGGGTGGTGTCATGTCATGTGTTTTTTTCAGGTGTAAGGTAAGAGGCGTCTTTGTTGGCAGTCTTTTGTGCAAGAACGATGTTAATGACTTGACATTTAGTGTCAAGTTTAGGGAGGTGATGAGTGTCAAAGAAGCTAGAAAGTCTTGATAATGATTTTATAAGTGTACAATTAAAGGCTGGAATACATTAATTGACTTGTAAAACTCAAACTCACGCAGAAACAAATGGCTTGTTGCTAGGAGATGCGTGACAAATGAAAACCGTGTGTTCTAAAATCAGCTCAAAGAGAGAGGAGTGTTGTTCTGATACAGTGTTTGAATACTAGCACTTAAAGAGTTTGGATGCATTCATTGATTCTTTATTGTGACCATTTTCCATTTGTTAGAATAAAAGTAAAGTCATGAAGACTCGTTAAGAAACTTCATGAGATGCATTCTGGGAACAATAGTTGAGCCAGATGGAGAAGGAAGTGTCATTTACTAAAGTTCAGCATTGCAAAGAAATTCATATGTTGATATTTGTCCATAAAATTAAACTTTAAAGGTGTGTTAGCAAAAGCATTTGGGTCAAAGGATTGTTGATCTTGACAAATGTAAATTCGATCATGTTTGTCCAAATGTTTTACTGCTAGTGTATGTATTTTATGAGTCAAGATCTAATGCAATCCTATCAAAACCTATCAAATGTAAAACTGAAATTAAATACAAAGGTGTGGTATTTATTCATTTAGCAGAAACTTCAATCCAACGCAACTAATCTTATTTTTTTTTTACCGTATATAATTTTCAATTGTAAAGTGAATTATAAAAATTTATAATTATAAATATATTCATATTATTTATTTATTACCTTCATTTATATATTAGATCTTATTTATTTATATTTATTTAGCTATTTATTTTGAATTCTATTTATTAATATTTTATTTAATATTAAATGGAAGGATATGAAATTTAAATAAATGAATATATTTATGTATTATAATTCTATTAATTTTATTTAATAGTTATTTATATTTGAATTAATTTGACTTTTTATTAATGTATGTGTTATAATTTAATTAATAATTTTATTGAAATGTGTTTATTTTATTAGAATTTATTGATTTACTACTTTACAATTTACTTATTTATTTATTTATTCCCTTATATATTTCAGGCTGCTTGTAGAAATGTCTAGTTCTAACCCCAACACCACTGGAGGTCCGAGTGCCAGCACTCCTGCAGCTGTGCCTACGACCCCGTCTGCATCTGGGACATCAGCTGCTTCAGGTGAGAAGGAAAAAGAGGGAGGCTCATTTGCATTAAAAAATACAAGTTCTTTAAGTTTAATTTAGAAAGTTTTTTTATGTTTAAAATATGCATACATAAACAAAACCTCATTGTGCAAAAGAATGAAAATGTATAAAACAGCATTTTATTTGGGTCCACTATTGCTGGAAAACACTAAGATTTGATGCTCTAAGTTAGATGATCTTGGGTCCGTATATCTGAACGTTTTCTCTCTTCTTCTCAGACAAGCTTCTGATGGTTCGTTCGGTCGACCTCCTGAAATCCAAGGATGGGCAGAACCGGCTCGAACATCACACAGACGCTTACTTCAGCGACAAGCTGATCGTCCGCAGAGGCCAGACCTTCCAGATGTGGGTCGAGTTCTCCAGACCCTTCAATCCGAAATCAGACAAACTGCAGCTGCTGCTTAAGTTAGGTGAGAGAGCCGCGTTCACAAAACCTGTTTGACAAGTCTTTTTTGTGTTTTGTTTGTTCTATTTAATCTCACAAGGAGCTCAGAAATGACTCATTTCACCTTTAAAATGATCCGTGAGTATTTCATTTGACACATTCTAACAAGTCAAACATCTCCGCAGATGACAGACTCAAGCCTGGACTTTTTGCTGTTTGTTTTGAGTTTGTTTAGTGAATATTTTTCACGATTACTGCATCCCATCCTTCTCATTCCCACCGGACACACCTCTGATAGTGTGTTTCTTTGCATAATTAGATCTAGGGACGTGTTGAGCAACATTTTTCTTAGAATCAAAATCACCATTAAACTCATAGAAGAGCAGAACTGAAATCAGAATGAAATCAGCATCAGAAGATTACAAAATCAGGGGTATTATAGGGGTATTGCATATTAAATAAAAACATTAAAAAAAAACTTGAATAATTTGAAATAACATAACAAACTGGAATAAAATGAAATATTACAAAATTATTTATTTTATTTCAGATAGTTGGTAAGTCAACATTTCTCGTTTTCATTAGTTTAACTTGCTGTAGCTACTAAAATATCTAAAACTAAAACTGAAACAAAAATGAATAAAAACTATATAGACATTTAAAAGTAATAAATTATAAAATGATAAAATGACTAAAACATAAAATAAAGTAAAAATAAAAAAACGAATTCAAGAAATGAATAAAACTATAATAGTAAAATTCCCTGAAAATAATCAAAGGTTTCAAAATCTGAATTAAATCAGAATCGGAAATAAAAATCAGTATCAGAAGAACAACTTGAATCAAAAATCAATAATCAGTGCATATCAGACGCATAATAGAAATTCAGAATTAAAATTACACAATCATTAATAAAAAAAAATAAAAAATCAGAACCAAAATCATAATCAGATAAGGTGTATTTAAAATTGATTTTAACTTGTTTTGTTGGATTTTTTTTTTTTTGTTGAAATTCTTTCTGTACTCAACCGTCATTCATAAAACATAAACATGCAGTGGCTACGGAAATGAAATCATGTTTTTTGTCAATGTTTTTCATACGGAGTCTGATGCATTAGCATTGTTCCAAAGACAGAAAGATGCCCAGACATTCTGACTGTTAGTTCAATTATCTTGCTCTTTATTCAGAAGAGAAGAACTGACAGATGAATCTAGTCATTCGTGATGGATGTGAGTCATGAAGTAGTTGGGTTTGGGCCAGGACTAGTTATTATGTAACCTAATCCAGCTGCTCCTTGAGTCTCCTTTATGAATGGATCTCCAGCTGAGTCACTGACAGATGATTTGATTAAAATAAATCATTAAAACGCTGTTCATCTTATGTTTCCACATCTTTGTTGTGTTTTTGACACAGATTCCATCTTCAGCAGTAATCCAGGGATTCGCATCTCTGTCCCGTTAGTGGATGTCCTGGAAGACAGCCGCTGGGAGATGAAGATCGTGGAGCAGAAAGACAAACGCGTGCGGCTGGCGGTCAACACTCTTCCCACCGCCTCCATCGGCCGCTACAAGGTGACCGTCGAGTCTTTCTCCCAGAGGGGCAGACTGCTGTTCCCCTGCACCCCAAACGACATCTACATGCTCTTCAACCCCTGGTGTGAAGGTACGGAGTCAACAGAAGATGATCACACTCGTTTTCCCCTTATTTACATTAATGACGTAACCACATCGATCTGTCTCTCCGCAGATGATCCCGTGTTTCTGGATAATGAAGCGGAAAGGAAAGAGTATGTTCTGAATAGCATGGGCAGAATTTACTACGGAACCGAGCAGCAAATTGGAGCCAGAACGTGGAATTTTGCCCAGGTGTGGAAACACAATTCCATTGTAGAGAGTGAAATTTATTTATTTATTTATTAGGGATGTCCCTATCAGGTTTTTTGTGCCCCGATACGATCCGAGTCATTGAATATTGAGTATCTGCCGATACAGAGTCCCGATCCGATACTTGTATGTTCCTATAGGAATGTATGTTTGGTGCACACTTCAGGTACATTAAAGTTATTAAAATTAATCCAATGTATACAGAGTTGTGCAGAGTAAAAATACTATATAATATAATATAATATAATATATTTAATCACAAGACACACTCTCTCTCTCTATGCACACACTATATTAAGACATTGGTAGATGTAAACGTTACAATGGTAGAAATGGTAAACAAACTGTGGTCACAATTATGAATATGGGACTGCTGATATAAAACTCTTGTATTTTTTTTTTTTATGCACAATAAGCAGAATAATTGCAACATGGTCATCCTTGAGATCGGCTGGGGACATCCCTATTAATTTAATTAATTAATTAATTTATTTATTTAGCAATAGTTTTATCAGTTTGAACCGATTCGATAATTATACAATTCTACTGTCATGGTTATGGACTTTTTCTTGTTTTATTCTGTTCCTGCCCTGTTTAGTTCTTGTCTCTCTAGTTTCTGATCTTGTCATTAGTTTCCTCGGTTGCACATTAGTTTCAGGTGTGTCTTTATTAATTGACCCATTATATATAATCCCTGTTTTGTTCTGCTGTCTGCTGGTTATTTGCTTTACAATTGTGAAAGCTACGTTTGCGATTCTCCTGTGTTTCTTCTTAATGGATTTATTATTAAACGGCTATTTTTGGATAATACTCCCTCGATGTGCGCTTATTATTGCACTACACGTAATATGTGTTGTTGTTATTATTATTATTATTATTACTAATAATTTGCAATTGTTGTATAAGTTTGAACAGATTCTATTACCATCTGTAATTCTGTTACTGTTATTATTTCTGTTATTAATATCGTTGTTGTTGCTATTATTTATTATTATTATTATTATTATGCAATTGTTTTATCCGTTTGAGCAGATTCTATTAACTATAGTTCAATTATTATAATTTCATTATTAATATTATTATTGTTGCTGCTGTTGTTAATTTGCAATTGTTTTAACTTGTTATTGTTTTGCAATTATTATTATTACTATTGCTATTATTATTACTGTTGTTGGCTTTTGCATTATTATTATTTTTATTTTTTTATTTTTTTATTATTATTGCTGTTATTAATATGCTTTTTATCAGTTTCAATCAGATTCTATGATTATTTATGATTCTGTCTTTACGAAAATTACTTCCATTATTATCGGTTCCATTATTTTTATATTTATTTCTCATTTGTTTGATCAGTTTGAACAGGACATCCTGGAAGCGTGTCTGTTCCTGCTGGAGAAGGGTCAGGTCGCTATGACCGAATGGAGAGATCCAGTGATCGTGTCCAGAATGGTCTCTGCTCTGGTGAGTCGCATTCACATGACATCGACATACGTTCATAAGAAATCATGAATATGACACGGATTTGAGAAGGTGAATTACAGTCGACAGTATGTGGTAGCTTTAGGTTCATAGGAATCTATCTTTTTCAAGACAGTACATGTTGAACAGCAGAGCCGGTGCTTGTTTGTTTACAGAAGCACATGCTTTCTCTTTCATCGAAACACACATTCTCCTCTGTCTCATCTGGCACAGTTCCAAACATCATTAGTGTAGAGATATGTCCTTTAATTCTACACTTCTGAATTAATGGATATAGAACTGCAAAAAGGTTTAAGTCACATTTTACCTTTGCAGTCTCACTTTTTTAAGATTTGTTACAAATTTCTTACATAATCAATCTACAACATAAACACTGTGAAAAAACAGCTGTGTTAAGTGATGAAAGTATAATAATCATATAACAAATATACACACACTGCTGTTTAAAAGTTTGTGGTCGGTAAGATGTTTTTAATGTTTTTGAAGTCTTTTCTGCTCAACGAGGCTGCATTTATTTGATAAAAAATACTGTAAAAACAGCTGTTTTCTGTGTGTGTTTTAAAATAGAATTTATTTCTGTGATGCGCAGCTGTATTTTCAGCATCATTACTCCAGTCTTCAGTGTCACATGATCTTCAGAAATCATTCTAATATGCTGATTTGCTGCTCAAGAAACATTTCTGATTATTATCAATGTTGAAAACGGCTGTGCTGCTTAATATTTATTAGAAACCGTGATACGTTTTATTTTTCAGGATTCACAGATTAATAGAAAGTTCAAAAGAACAGTACTTATTCGAAATAGTAAAGACACTTATGTTAAAAAGGATTTCTGTCACTTTTAAACCTTTTGATGTATCATTGCTAAATAAAAGTATTAATATATTTTTATAAAATTTATTGAACAAACTTTTGAACAATAGGGTAAATTGAATTAAAAAAGGGCAATAAAGAACATTTTGATGTTAATTTTTAGAAGTTACATTTACAGAAATCTGCTTGATTGATCTTTTCATAAACATTTGTCAGTAAGTATAAAAATAACAGTAAAAGATAATGGTCATCCTCTTTTGATTTACTATTGTTATATATTAAAAAAAAAAAATTTAAATTAAATAATGTCCACAACAACAGTTCAGTCTTTATACAATATATTCTTCGCAT